GACAAGACTGTGTAACAAACTGTTGGTAAAACTTCTTTATTTAGATATGTATCGTATTGACTACCATGATGAGATACACACTCCTACTATATTTCATAAAGTATTATGAATCTTTTTTTTATCAGACAATTGTTCGAGGGGATAGTTCTTCCAAGTTTGAAAATGGGCCAATATCTGTAACACGATCAAACTCTCTGAGAAAAGAAAGCCCTCTTATTCATCATCATGACCATCACCCAAAATGGATGATGCCTCCTCCTATATACGAATATGATGAACCATATCAAACATACATACCATCAATGGGTGGACCTCTTCCTCCTCATGCTCTTTATCCAAGTCATCAACACACTCCCTCTTCTGCTCGTCGTCCACAAACTCAATACCATTTACGTTATGAAAAGAAGACCACTCACCAGTTAGGTGAACATAGACATACTGTTCATCACCAGTTGAACAACAAACACAGGGATTATAATTTATATAAAAATAACACTCCGTTGATTTCAGGACCATACCCAGAAAGACAGGTCAGAAATTTTGATATGGATCACTATAGTCACCAGATAAACTATGATCAGCAAACAGGTCACATTAATGAAGCACAGTCTTCATTAGATAAATATTCATCTGAACAACTTATACACGTTAAAAAAGATCACGGGAACTCTAGTCAGTTCCGAAGTCATGTTCAACACAATCAACAAGCAAAACTGTCCCAGAAGAAACGAATCGAATCAGAAGTTGTTTTAAAAGGTGCACACTCCAGTGACGACCAGAAAAACAGTTTTGTAGACCCTTTTCAGAATATACCACACACCAAAAATGGAACCAAAAAACATCTAGACGGACAGAAACTTTCAAATCATATTGTATATGTTCCTCCACAGTCTGAAGGAGGCCAGCAGGTAGAGGTAAGCGTGAATGAGAAAACACGATGAAATTTTAGGAGTTTGCACTCCTAAGAAGTTAAGTATTGATATATAGGAAAATATGTTAATTTCTTGTTTTGAGGAGTGTAAATCCACTATGTACTATAGATAAAAATGAAGAGGTACAGCTTTTCCGTGGATTATTTATTTTTATTTAATTTTATTACAACGTTTCGACCACTCGTGTGGCCATCATCAGGTAACTGTCGTCTAATTTGTGAAATATTACACGAGTATTTTGTTCCAATTCAGAAAATATACAGGGTGACATATAGAAGCATTAATTATTTGTGAACTAAAACCTAATTTAAATCAAAACACAGTTGTCACCCTGTATGTTTGCTAAATTGGAACAAAATGCTCGCACATTATTTCGAGCAATAGGCGACAGTTATCTGATGATGGCTACACGTGTGGACGAAACGTTTTAATAAAGTAAAATAAAAATAAATAATCCACTCAAAAGCTGTACCTCTTCACTTTTAATGGTTAATCTCTTGTTTTCAAAGCTGTTTCGAATATTATTTTAAAATAACTCAAATCTGAAAATTTTCAATATATTTCTTCGTGGCTTCTTGAATCAGGTCTAAGAATTTGACTAAGAATGTACCAAAGCAAGCTTCAGTTTGAGCAGAAGAAAGTGATTGAAGTATAAACTAGAACAGAAGTTAAAGATTTAAGGTGTAATGTTTGTCTGAAACCTGTTATTTGGTTATCCATTTAAAGACTAAAGTGATATTTTTAGAATTGGATATTTGTGAGTTTTTTGGTGTACAGATTCATGTAGAGGTAGAATGCTCTGTGATCCCTCTAAAGGAGGTAAAGCAAGAAATGACAACAGAGGGCTTGAGACTAAAATAAGAATGACAATTAGTGCTTCAAAATTATCAAGTTACTTTTGAAAAGAATCATTACAAGTATGCATTATATTGATTAAAAGGTACCTTCCAAGTCCAACCCAGAGTCGAGCCAGGAAACCATGGAGCAAGCAGAGTTTAATCGTCAGCAGAGACTGTCCCATAAACAGGTATGTACTGTATCTATACTCTGGACTGGCCATGGCCTAGTGGTTAGTTAGCATGCCTGGACTGTGAATCTGATGGCTAATATAAACAGGTATGTACTGTATCTATACTCTGGACTGGCCATGGCCTAGTGGTTGGTTAGCATGCCTGGACTGTGAATGTGATGGCTAATATATTGCTTCAAATCCACAATCCACACTGTGATGGCCAAATCCCACTACTCAGTCAGACAAGAACTGGATGTGGTGCTGTTGACTAGCTGCATTCCCTCTAGTCTTGGGCTGAGCAGAGTCTTAGTGGTCATCGTGTCAGACTGTGCATTCCATACTTTGAGGCCACGGGTGCTTGTAACTTGTACAGCCAAATCCGTTTTTTTTGACAAGACTGAACAGGATTTTTTTGTACTACCAGTCGCTCACCTATAAATCTTCGATGACTATGTTTTACCAGTAAATACCAGTCACAGTATAGCATTATTACAATTTAATTTGTGGAATATGTAAGCTAGCTGACTTTCATGAATAATAGTCGTTGATAAATATTTTATCTATTGGGTTTTAATATGTCCAGCTATCAGCTAATTCACATATTTACAATATGTCTGTCAAAAACATGAATCTTTTCTTTTTTTTATTTTATGTAAAACAGCTACTTACTGATATCAAAATTGACTTTCGTTTGGCCCTGTATCTAGTACTTCTAAATTAGGTAGTTTTCACTCATAATACTAACCACTGTTTGGGAAAAAAAGTTTCTTATTTGTAAAAGATCTGAAATTGGTCAAGTTGCTGTAGTGAAGTGTATATATAAGGCTAAAGTTGCTGTAGTGAAGTGTATATATAAGGCTAAAGTTGCTGTAATGAAGTGTATATATAAGGCTAAAGTTGCTGTAGTGAAGTGTATATATAAGGCTAAAGTTGCTGTAGTGAAGTGTATATATAAGGCTAAAGTTGCTGTTGGCAAAAACAGAGAACTACATGATTATACAACAAATAAGGTAGTAAAAACAGAGAACTACATGATTATACAACAAATAAGGTTGGAAAAAACAGAGAACTATTTATCTTTACAAGGTATTATGTAACTGCAGAGTTGTAAACATTGTCATAAAGAAATGCTTAGAAAATTATGTTTTTAAACAGATGATAGAGGGCTAAAGTTGCTGTAGTGAAGTGTATATAGAAGGCTAAAGTTGCTGTAATGAAGTGTATATATAAGGCTAAAGTTGCTGTAGTGAAGTGTATATATAAGGCTAAAGTTGCTGTAGTGAAGTGTATATAGAAGGCTAAAGTTGC